GGTCCCTGTGCTTTGCTAAGCCTGTTCTAAGTAGGTGCTTCAGACCACGGAGCCATCTCACCAGCCCCAAAGAATTTCTTTTTTTTTTTTTTTTTTGGTGGAACTGGGGATTGAACTCAGGCCCTTGCGCTTGCCAGGGAAGCTCATAGTCTGCTGAGCCATCTTCCCAGCCCCATTTAGGCCTTTTGTATGTTGTCATCAAGTTCATATGAGGTTGGTAAAGCCCTGCTCACTTTCTGTATCATACTGCTTCATAGAACCATGGCCACTGTTTAGATTTCCGTTAGAAGGTGAAATCCAGGAACTGGAGCTTTCATTGACTAATTTGCTCACTTGCTGTTCTAATAGGCTTAGAACAGGGCTGGCACATAGTAGATATTTAATAAACAGATAAATAGTGGGTTAGTTGGGTGAGTTTATTGAAATTTTATTCTCTGCTAAACATTCTACATGCATGACCTCAGATAATTCTCCCACCCAAATATAGGTCCTGCTCTTGTCCCCACTTGACAAACAAGGAAACCGAAGCACAGAGAGGTACAGATACTCATAAAGATTGGATGGCAGATAAGCAGCAAGCAACACAATCTGAATCCAGGTTTTTCTGACTCTAAAACCTGCTTGCGCCCAAACTCAGGACTGTTCTGTACTTCCTCGGCATCTCCCCTAGGCTAAGCAACCTTGAAACTTAACATGGCCAAGAGTAAACTGTTGTTACTCCCACCCACTCAGACTTCCTGGTTAATAAGGCCAAGGCCAAGCATCCTCTGTTTGCTGGGTTCAGAGGCCTTGACACCCCCACGCCTTCACAGGAAACCTTCAGCTGCTCCCCCTCTCCCACCTTGACTGCGCCCCATGCAAGCTGCCTGTGATCTCCAGATTACTTCAGTAGCCTCCCCCCAGTTTTGAGCCTCCACCTTTGCTTCCCATGGTCTGTTCTAAAGGTGGGAGCCCAGGAGCTCTGATAATGCCACTGCTGTGCTGCAAACCTCAGCTCACTCTGGGCAAAAGCAGAGCCCTGGCCCTGGCCCACATGGTGTTTGTGATCAAGTCCCTATTGGCTCATCTGACCTGCTGTTCCCCTCACTCTGCCCCAACCCACAGGCCTCTGCTGTTCCTCCAGCATGGTAGGCAGAGGGCTGGACTCAGGACCTCTCACTGGAATACCATTTGATCCCTCCTTGGCTTGTTCTGTCCCTTTGTTAAAGCCTTTGGTCAAATGTCAATGAATTCTCATCATCTCACTTTGCCAAGCCCCTTCCCCAGTGTGGCCCAGAGTGTACTTCCACCTACACTGCCTGCTCTTCTATCATCTGACTTGTGTCACCCCTGGATTCTCTGCAGCATTTAGTCAGCACATGCTATGTGCCTGCAGAACGTGCTAGCCTCATAACAGGAACAGGACTGTTCATGGGCAGACCTGCTCTGCCCTTTGTGGCCTTGCCTTCTTCCTCACAAATTCCCAGTGAAGTAGACATCATCATCCCCATATCACAACGGAGGAAACTGAGGCCTAGAGAGATAAAGCAGCTTGCCCAGCCTCCAAAGTAAAGGAAGAACCTGGTTCTTCCTTCAACACCAGCCTCCTTCAATACCAGGATCCTTCAACACCAGGCTTATTTCACCTCCCCGCACCCTGACTACAGTTTTCATTTCCTGAGTAAGGCCTCGGCCAGGCACTATGCCAGGCTACACATTCTACCCACATCCTCTCAGTGCCACTCTGTCCCACCCCCATGCCCACTGTTGGCACAGTCCTCTTAGAGCACATTTCCATGGCACCTCCGCCCCCAGTCTCAAAGCCTGCCAGGAGTCAGTGGGCTGGGAAGAGATGACATAAGCCATCTCCTTTGAGGGGGCAATGTGTCTCTGTGACATCTTCCAAGGTGAGCTTCCCCTACTCTTCACTGGCAAAACTACGATTCAGAACCATGGCTGGCTGACTCTACCACTCCACTATCCTAGATATCCTTTTGATGTGTGAGTCATGCCCTTTTGTTAACTGGATAAGGTTTACTACATGCTGGCCATGGCTAGCCAGTGCTGGGACACAGTGGTTACCAAGGTGGGCCCAGGCTGCCTTCATGGGGCTCCCATCCAGGCAGATAGAGAACAAGCAATTACAAGAACCACGAAGTGTGCTGGGGAGATAGCCCAGCAGTCTAAGCACCTGCCTGGCAAGCACAAGGACCCAGGTTCGATCCCTGGCACCGCATGCCATGCCACCAAGCAGACCACTGAAACTGAGTGTGGTGGTGTGGTGAGACCCTGTATCAAATAAATAGATAAATGATTAAAAACAAAAAAAAAAAAAAAGTACCAAGAGGTTAAAAGAAAGCTGTTGATAGTGTCATAGGGACCTAAATTAGACAAGGAGGTCTCCAATCCACAACTTGGCTATGCTCCAGACCTAGTTGGTTAGCAGAGCGTAAGAGGATTTGATATGACTGTGGCTTTCCTTAAAATATTGGGGGATCTAGCTATACTGGGCCTGTGTTTGTAAGAGCAGTGGTCAGCTGCAGCGGAGTGATAGACACACCCTTTAGATGGGGCACAGTATGCCATTTGGCCATGACTCACAGTCTACATCTCCATCTAACATCATAAAATAGAGAAACAGAAGGGTGCAGCAGAGCACCAGGTAGTCAGGGAAGAGGCCAGAGGCAAGAAGCCAGCTGGGACTAGCATCACCCTCAGTGGCCTCCTCTGTGACCTAAGCCGAGGAGCTGCACCTACCTTGTAAGTGAGGCCACTTACAAGATGGACATGGACTGGGCTTAACCCAGTGCCTCGGGCTGGGCTGGGTGGCTGCTGAAACCAGCAGAAGTTTGTTTAAATTGGTATATGGAGCTATATGCATAACTCCCGAAGCCCTGTGGCCTTCCTGGACCCTTGTAAACACCAGGAATGGGTCTCTTCCTCATGCAGGCTCTTAGATTCACTGTAAAAGCAAAGGAGACAGAAGTTTCAGGACTCTTCTCTTGCTCAGTCTCGCTCTCTGTCTCTGTCTCTCTCCTTCTCCCTCTTCCTCCACCAAGTGATCCAAAGCAGCTGCTACTTAGTAGGACGGACAGGGCTGCTAACATACAATAGAGACCTAGCCATCTAGGAGCTGAGATAGGACCTTACTTCTCTTAACTAGCTCTTGGGCTGGCAGGGAAGCTTAGGAGTTCAGGGGCTCACATCTGCTGGACTTGCAGCTCCTCTTTCCCCTTGTGTTGGCGTAAAAAGCCATAGTACTTACCTGCACAATGCCAAGTCATTCCATGTCCCCATTCTGGTGCTTAGGAAAGAATGCATGAGTGCGGAGGGCTAGCCATTCTGTTTTTAACAACCAAAGTTATGCCAGAAAACCTCAGCCGCTGCTTCTCCCTTGCTCTTTGCTGTTTTTCTGCCCCCATGAATGGCTGCTCTCTGCCATGTGCCACTCTGCTTTGGAGCCAGCTGAGTATGGATTGAAACCTCCACTAACTGAGCTAAATAAACCTTCCTTAAAAAAAAAAAAATTAAAAAAAAACAGTTATGCCAGATGCAGTGGCCCATACCAATAGCCCCAGCTACTTAAGAGGCTAAAGCAGGAGAATCATTTGAGTTCAGGAGTTCGAGAACAGCCTGGCAACATAGACCCTGCCTTTTTTTTTTTTTTTTTTTTTTTTTTTTAAGAACCGAGGATTGAACTCAGGCCCTGAGCCATCTCCCCAGACCAAAAAAATTTTTAAAAAAAGCTAAATTACGTCTGTTATTTTATATTCCACCAGTCAAAATTAAATCATATGTCCTTACCTAGCCACAAGGGAAATAAGAAATGTTATCCTTAATGAGGTGGCTGAGTGTAGGTGTGCATCAACAGTCTGTTTGGGCTAGGTGCAGTGGTGTGTGCCTGGAATCCCAGACACTCACCTCTGATCCCAAGAACCTAGAAGGCAGAGGCAGAAGGATTGCAAGGCCAGTCTGGGAAACTTGATTGCAAGGCCAGTCTGGGAAACTTTGTAAGAACTTATGTATATAAGCAGCATGTAGTCCAGGAGCGTGCTTGAATGCTTGTCTCCATGTTCAAAGCCCTAAATGCAATCCCTCATGTCAGGGTTGGAAGTCTTTTGTAGTGAAGGTCTTTTCCACATAGAAAGAAAGGGACAGTGCAGTGGGCCGTGGGCAATGCTCCTGCAGTATGTGCTGAGCTGTTACAGCATTCCAGGTGGGCATTTCTGCAAGATGGGGTTCTCCCCTTGACAACAGTGCGGGCCTCCGAGGGTTGGTGTGGCCCTCCTGGTATTGAGCATGGACACACAGAACTTTGCTTTATAAGGCAGAGCCAAGCCCTTTGTTTTAGTTTTTTAGTTTGCTCTTTCTTTCAGCCAAGCTCTTTGGACAGAGTGACCACTTCAAAGGAAAGACTTTCTAGGGCTAGCAAGACAGCTCAGTGGACCAAACACCTGCTTAGGCAAGCACAAGTAGTGGGATTCAATCCCCAGCATGCACCACATTCTGCTCCAGCCCCACCCCAAGGCACACTGCCACCGAGACCAGACATGGTGGGGAGGCTGAAAACAGGAGGAGCACTCTGAGTCAGAGCTGTGTAGTGAGACCCTGTAACAAATACATTAAAGGGCCGGGGAGATAGAATAAGCTCAGAAACATAAGCACTTCCCTGGCAAGCACAAGGGCATGAGTTCAATCCCCGGTTCTGAAAAAACAAAAAAATTAGAAAAGAAAACTCCAAAGGAAAAAATTTTGACTCCCACAGCAAAAATAATAGACTAGGAAAAATGCAATCTCAGCTTTCTCTTTTGAGGCACAAGGCAGTCAACCTTCTCTTCAACCAGTTTTAACATTTCGTTTTGTTCTTGAGACAAGTTTTTGCTTTATAGTTCAGGCTGACGTCAAACTCACGCTGATCCAAGCATTGGGATTACAGGCATGCACCACCACACCTGTTAAGTTTTACCTTTTAATTATGGACCATTTCAGACATACCCAAAACTAAAGGCAATCATATTTGAATCCCACTTGCCACCACAAGCCTCGACACTTAACCTGCCCTTGGCATCATGTTTTTTCCTTCCCTCTGATGATTTTTAAGCAAATTTTAGACATCCTATCATCTACAAACCTTTCAATATTTACCTCTAAAAGATAGACTCAAAAATAACAATTTTAGCTGGCCACAGTCCTACATGCCTGTAATCTCACTACTTGGGAAGTTGAGACAAGAAAATTCAGTAAAAACTTACTGGAGTTTTTTTAAAGGTAGCAGGGGATGGGCCAGCCAGATAACTCAGTGGACTAAAGCACCTGCTTAGGCAGGCGCAGGACCAGGGTTCGATCCCTGGCAGGCTGTGCCAGCCCCGTCCCCAGGGCATGCTGAGATGGGGATTGAGACTAGGAGTGGTGGTGCATGCCTGTAATCCCAGCATTTGGGAGTCTGAAAACAGGAGGATCACTGTGAGTTCAGTCTGTGTAGTGAGTCCCTGTAGATCCCATACGAAATACGTAAAAATAAAATAAAAATAAAGAGAACAGGGAGGTGGTGATGTCATTCAGTGGTAGAGCAGGTACCTACCATGTGTGGGGCCCTGGATTATTCCCCAGGACAGCAAAAAATAACTGCAGTAATTTTACCATCACACTTATAAGAAGCTAACAGTAACTCCTTATTGTTAAATAGTCACCCATGGATGGGCCATGAAAGATTTACTCAGTCATAAGCCATATTATTAAAGGATGAGTAGTCTAGTCTGTTTAGTCTGATATAACAAAACACTTTTTTTTTTTTTTTTCAGAACCAGGGATTGACCTCAGGTCCTTGCACTTGCCAGGCAAGCGCTTATTCTACTGAGCCATCTCTCCAGCCCCAACAGAATACTTTAACTGGATATATAAACAATAAACATTTCTCTTGGAGGCTGGCTAACCCAGGGTCAAGGCAGTAGCTGGTCTGGATTCTGGCAGGTGCCATTTTCTGGTTCCTACGGGCTCCTTCTTGCTGAGTCCTCATATTTGAAAGAGAGAAGCAGCTCCCTGGGCCTTTTTTCCAGTACTGGGGATTGAACTTGGGTCCTTTGCACTGAACTACAAAGCATGAGGTAGAGGAGTAGCTCAGTGCTGGAATAATTACCTGGCATGCATGAGGCCCTGGGAACAGTTAACAACACACATGCATGCGTGCGCGCACACACACACATCAAAATACTTCACAGTCGATAATGAAAAGTGATATTGTGTGAATCAGGCTCCTTTGGGAGAGAGGATCTCATCTTGAATCTAGGCTGACTTTGAACTCACAGCAGTCCTCCTGCCTCATCCTCCCGAGTACTGGCATTACAGGCATGTGCCACCATGGCCCAGCAGAAGCAGGCTTTTAGCCATACGTGTTTCCCCTACTTCCAAATCCCCACTATCCAAATCAGGACCCAAACAAATTTACTGACATTTTCAAGTAAGTCTTTTGCCATCCAGTCTTTGCTATCTGCACTCAAGAATGTGAGCGATTTGGATTGCACAGAATATTTGTGTCTGTGGATGTATGTGTGAATGTGTGAATGTGTAGTTGGTGACATACTTATTTCTTCCAGTGGTAGTTAAGAGTGTGAAAGCCAGCACGCTATAGTAATAGGTACATTAAGTAGCATAATTTCTAGCTAAGGAATGACTTCTCATGGGAAATTTGAACATTACTTGTTCTCCTTCTAATGCAGTTTTAAGAAGAGGGTAGGCAGATTTTGCTATAACTGGCTGGTGAAGTTCATCTTTCGTATCCCCACAAGAGGCAGAACCACTTAATGTCAAGCAGAGGGCCTGGGGCCCCCAATCAGCACTTCTTAATTCTCATATCTTACATTCACAATGTGGGGAATGGGAAAATCTCACACAAGGGAAACAGGAAATGGGGAATAATCGGAGCGAGACTCCAGTCTTGTCCATTCCCTCCTGGGGAAGATCTAATCAGAAGATGGGGTTTATGCTTCTGGGAATGATGTCACCAAGTGGGAGAATATTGTACGCACTGGTTACTTTCCTTGTTGCTGGGACAAAGCACCCAATGCCCACACCGTAAAGGAGGAAAGGTTTATTTTAGCTCATGTTTCAGAAGTCTCAGTCCTTGCATGGTCATTGGCACAGTGAAGGGGCCCAGGCAGAAGAGAGCTGCTCGTACTACAAGGAAGTACAGGGCAGGAGTGAGCCAGGGAGGGAGAGATGCCCTTGCAGGTCACGCCTGAAGTGGCCTAGGTCTTCTGATGAGCCCCTTCCTCCTAGCATCATGTCAGGTATAGGATCTCCTAATTCTTAGGTCACCTTCCTAAGCCAGCCTGTGAGTGCATGAGGCCTGGAGAGGACGTCTAGATATAAACCATCACACGGCATGAGTGCCCAAGCTAGCGAAGGCCCCAGTCTTGCCAGTCTGTTGCTTCTCCCACTCACTTCAGTTGGCGTCAGTGTGTCAGACAGGATACATTAGTGGCTTAAAGCAACGAAGCTTTGTTTTCTTGCTTGTACTACTGGCTAGGGCTTTGCTCCATGCTATCCCAACACTTGGACCCCGGACAGCTGCTGCTACCTAGAATGTCCGTGGTCCCTGGCAGAGGCAAAGAGCCCACACAGGGTTTCTACTGGTAAGCCCATCCCCTAGCCCAGGGGACATGCTCTCTCCAGTGCCAGCTCACGCTTCTGACCACAATGGCCCAGAAGTACACTTCTGTCAGACCTGAGGAAGGAGAGAGACAAGGGCATTTGGAGACCCTGTGCACCAGTAAGCCACAGCTGGCCTATCCACATTTCCTCTGTAGGAATCTAAGCTGGCACCAGGTGACACTGCCCCTCTTTGTAACCTGGCACCACTTGGGAAGGAGAGGAGGAGGAAGGAGTGAGCAGGTCTTCCCCTTAATGGGGGTCAGGGACTCTGACCAAGGTGTCTGAAGCTAGATCCCTTCTGCTGCCCACAGGTGATGACCAACGGCTGGGAGACAGTGGACATGACCCTGCGGCGCAACGGACTGGGGCAGCTGGGCTTCCACGTGAAATATGATGGCACAGTGGCCGAGGTAGAGGACTATGGCTTCGCCTGGCAGGCTGGCCTCCGACAGGGCAGCCGGCTAGTGGAGATCTGCAAGGTGGCTGTGGTCACACTGACCCATGACCAGATGATCGATCTGCTACGCACTTCTGTCACCGTGAAAGTGGTCATCATCCCACCTTTTGAGGACGGCACACCCCGAAGGTGAGAGGCAGGAGCGGGCTAGGAATTGGTGGCTCCCAGAGGCCTCCCTGGCACTGACACCCTGGGCTTCAGTAGAGGGTCTAGATAAGCCTTCCCTTAGCCAGAATAGTGACAGTGGTGACAGTGGGAGCGAACGCTAAGCCTTGCCAGTTACTAGTTTGAGCTCCTTGGGTGCAGGCTGCCTTACGTGTTCTCCACAGCAGCCCTGAGTCCCCGTTCACATCTCTAAGTGAAGCTCGCAGTGTTAAAAGCAGCTTGCTCAAGGACGCACTGGACCAGACTTAATTTGTTTGTTCAGCCCATGTTTACTAAGCCCCTACGGTGTGCCAGCTCTATCTGCAATACCAGCGCTAGAGCAGTGGACAAAGCAAGGGCCTGCTGTCCTGGAGTTTGTGTTCTCTGGGGAGGACAGGGAGTAAAAAGTAGACAAAAGGGCTGATGAGATTGCTCAGCGGACTAAGCACCTGTTTAGGCAAGCAAAGGAACCACATGCCTTGCCGGCCCTACCCCCGGGCATGCGGAGACCGGGCAAAGCAGCACACATCTGTAACCCCAGTGCTGGGGAGGCTGAAAGCAGGAGGATCACTTTTAAGTCCGAGCTACATAGTGACACCCTGTACCAAATACATTTTAGAAAAAGACACTACAGGATCCAGTAGTGATTACTGCAGAGAAAGAAATAGGAACAGGGTCAGCGGAGGGGGCTGTCATGTGACTGGATTGCTGCTTGCGGGTAGGCGGCTCATGGCAGAGGCAGCCATGTGGTTTTGGGGGCCAGCAGGCTCTCCATCGAACCACCCAGGACTGAGTCTCCCGGTCATGGGTGTGGGGTGACAGAGGCCTGAACAGAGTGAGCCCAGGTGTGAGCAGGAGAACAAGACCCAAGCAGTAGGGCAGACGGGGGCACTTCTGAGGCCATGGGAGCCACTTAGGTCTTATTCTAAGCACAATGGGAAGCCAGTGGGGGGTTTCTTTCAGTTTCTTCTTTTAATGAAACATTTCAAACATAATAAAAGTGTGCAGTTAAGCCAGGCCTAGTGGCACACACTCGTAATCCCAGCACTCTGGGAGGCTGAGGCAGGATCACAAGTTTGAGCCCAGCCTGGGCAACTTAAGGGGATCCTGTTTCAAAACAAAAAAGGGGTGGGGATGTAGCTCAGTGCAGAGGGCCTGGGGTTCAATCACCAGTACTGTTTTTAAAAAGCACACTGTTGGCCCTTTATATGTGCAAGTTCCACCCTGGAGTTCTACCAGTTGCAGATCAGAACTTGAAGGTGTGTTGCCTCTGTATTGGGCAGGTACAAGCTTTGGGGTTTTTTATTACTTTTCTCTAAATGACAACTGTTTGCATAGCATTGACCTTGTGTTGGGTTATAAGCAACCTAGAGATGATTTAAAGCGTACAAGAGGATTTGCATAGGCTATATGTAAATACCCTGCCTTTTATTTAATGAACTTGAGCACCCTCAGACTTTGGTATCGTAGGAGAGTCCTGGAACTGGACCCTCCTGGAGAGCGAGATGACTGTACCGAGCCCCTGCTTTCAACTCTCCTCAGCATGTGGCCAGCATTTTTGCTTTTATAATCTCTACATCTTCTGGCCTCTCACCACCCCCCACCTTGGGTTATCTGAAACAATCCCAGACCTTGCAGTGTATTTCTGCACAGTAAGGAACAACCTTTTAAATCGTTTATTATTGAGTCAGGTGTGGTGGCAGTGCACACCTGTGGTCTCAACATTCAGGAGACTGAGGCAGGAGGATTGCTGTGCGCTCAGGGCCAGCCTGAGCTACATAATAAGGACCTGTCTCAGAAAAGCCAAAGAGGGCCCGGGGAGATGGCTCAGTAGAATAAGCACTTCCCCGGCAAGCGCAAGGGCCTGGTTCCACCAAAAAAAAAAAAAAAAAGCTAAAGAATAAATATTTGTTTAAATCTTTTATTGTTATACTTAATAAGTTAAGTAGTAATTCCTTAGTATCAGCTGTCCAATTTATTGATTGTGCAAGAGATTAAATCCAGGGTTTCTGCACCGAGCTATAGCCCCAGCCTTTTTTTATTTTTTGAGACAGTCTTGCTCAATGGTTCAGGCTGGGTTCAAATTTGGGATCTCCTGCCTCAGCCTCTCAGAGTACTGTGTTTACAGGATGTGCCATGATGCCCAGATTCTTAGGGTTCTTTTTCATCTGTCGGGCCCCCCTCCCCCTTGCAGTTTATTTTGGGAAGAAACCGAGTCACTTCCCCTAGGTTTCCCATCTCCAGGATTCAGATGGTTGCCTCACCGCGGTGTCCTTTAACTCCTCTAACAGACTGGTTTCGCATAGACGCTTGCCGGGGTGAGGCGTGGGGGTAGCAGTGAAGTCCAGAACGTGAGAACCAGGCCCCTCAGCATCTAACAGACCAGAAAGAGGCCTGTGTGGCCGGACTGAGCCAAGAGGAGGGCTGGAGATGAGCTGACACTCGGCCTCACTGGGCTCCCACCGCTGTTGGCATGATTCCCACGTTATGGATGAAAACCAAGGCCCAGAGTGGACGAGCCACAATTACAGAGTTGCACACCTTAGTAAGTTCCACAGCCAAACTCACTCCACATGTGCCTGTCTCCATTGTACACTCAGGCCTCTAAAAGCTGTCGAGAGCTGTAAACATATAAGTGGTTTTGCTCCCCTCCCACCCTCTAAACTTTGAGCTTGGTGAGGGACAGTTTGGGGCAGACCTACACCCTAAAACCACCCCTACCCACACCCGTGGTTCCTCAATCTCAGGACTCCAGAGAAGCCCCAGGCAGTCCCTACCTCAGCCTTTTCCTGTGCCCTTTTAAAAACCACCTCTGGAGACTGGGCGTGGTGGCACACGCCTGTAACCCCAGCGCTTGGGAGGCTGAGAACAGGAGGATGACTGTAAGTCTTATCTGTGTAGTGAGACCCTGTAGACCCTGTACTAAATACATACACACATGCATGCATACATACACACATACAAGCATGAATACATAAAAATAAAACCACCACTGCCCAGAGCCACAAGGAAGACCACCAGCTGGGTATCTGCAGGGGCAAGCTTCACCAGAGTCACCCCACAGGCAGCTTCCTGGCAAGGAAGGTTGAGACCCCTGTGCCTCTTTCTGTGCACACGTTGACTTGTGCACACAGTAGGCAGTTTGCCAGTATCTGCCTTTCCAAAGCCAGAGGCGCACAAGAAAGGCCACAAAGAACAAGCAGGTAGGGACAAACTAAAAGCAGAAGGAAGTCTGTGTTCTCTGCTCTGGGAGACAAGGCCTTGGAAATGCAACCAGACAGACAGGTTCTGTTCCCTGCCCTGTTGAGAAGGCCCGGCCCCCATCCCTCATAAGGAGGCTGGCAGGGAAACAGGATCTCACATTTGCTGGGCTGGTGTGGGTTGGGGCCTGGGTGGTATTTGTTGTTCTTCAAATGCAGAGGCATCTAGCTGACCTCATTTGCAGAGCTGATAACCTTAGCGCAGGGACCTTCTGGTCTCTCTGCAGCCCAGGCTCCTGGCTCAGATGTCAAAATAAGCTCATGTGGGATGGGCAGAGAGGCACTTGGTTCCATCACCCAAATATTATGTGGTGTGCCTCGGGACCCCTTGCACTTAGACATGGAGAGTACAAGGGGATCTCTGTCCCCTCCAGTCACAAGACTACAGTTCACCACTTCCCTGCAAGGCCAGTGACACTCAATGGAACCCAGGGCCTCATAAGTGCTGGGCAGAGCCAGTGTGGAGACACATGCCAGTAATGTTAGCACTAGGGAGGCGGAGGCAGGAATATCATCAGGAGTTCAAGGCCAGCCTGGAGTACATAGAAAAACCCTGTCCAAAAAAAAAAATGTGGGCAAGTGTTCTACCGCTGAGCTACACCTCCCAGTCCCAAGCTAGAGGACCTAAGTGATCCCTGTACCTCTGGGCCCTAGCTGAACTGGGCCAGATATCCAGGAGGACATCCCTAGGCCTCTGGTATGTCGTGACAGGGTGGATGATGTGTGGCTTAGTGGTAGGGCACCTGCCCAGCACGCATGAGCCCCTGCATTTGATGCCCAGCGATAAAAACAATCTCATCATGAGCTTGAGTGCTTGTGCAGGCGCAGGGGGAGGCTCTTGTCTTTGTCACTGTCTGATGG